TCAGACAGATTACAGAGAATTTATAATAACGGGGCCTAAGCAGAAGCAAATAAAATAACGGAACGTCCGTTAAGTAGTGCTTGTATGACAAGATTTTAAACATCATGTCATATACAGAAAGTTCACAAACACAATTCATACATACAAGTACAAGTCATGTAGGTATATACAAGGAGTTCGCAACCCAAAAATTACATGTTAACAAGGTGTCCAAACAAAATTCACCAAAGACTTAACAACATTTGCCATCACAGAAAATTCCAAAAGGCAAAAGGGCTTCTTTTTGGAGGCTTATCAAAGCAAGTCCACCAAAAAGACTCCTGAAGCAAACCTAGGGTTGACCTTCGGGTTGAACACCTACAAATATATATATATATATGTATATAGAGTGAGTGAAGCTCAATGAATAATAGTAAAGTGAAGAGAATCCAATGAATAGGCTTAAATTAAATGAAGACATGTAATGTAAACCCAATATTTTTCCAAAGTGCAATATTTAGAGCATCCACCATAGTCACATTAAGCATAGCATTATTCATAATCTCATTTTTAGAACGGCCTTAGGCCCATATGTAACAGAATGGCCTTGGGCCCAATCACATGTTAACAGAACAGCCTCGGGCCCAATCACATGATATTCGTTATTCAGAACGACCTGAGGTTCAAACATAGCTTATTGGAGAGTAGATGGAACATCAACATGTCTCCATCACCTACGGCCATAGGCCCAACATAGTAATAGCTATTCTGAACATCATAGGGTAGATGGAACATCGACATGCCTCCATCTCCTTCGGCCTTAGGGCCATAGATCATAAGTAATCCATATCAGACATAACGGCCTTGAGCCCATCACTTATAAAACAGAAACAAAACAACCTTAGGTCCACATTTCATTCATTTATTAACATTCGTTAGGCATCCTTTACCATTTGTAATAAGGCATTCTATAACGTTTGTTGCACCTTTATATCATAATCCAATGTCATACATCTATATCTACATCATTCAATCATTCCAAAATAGCAATTAGCCACATCGTTCATACCAAAATAAAATTGAGAATTAAATAAGAACATATCTTTACAATACTATTACTCACAGTGATTCGCTCAAACAACGGTCCCTTTCGGCGAGTGATCTACACATCACACACACACAACTTGATAAGCAATTCATTCTTTTCTTAGTTTCTTCTCTTTAATCATTTTTCTATTTCATTCAATTTCTATTCATCTTTAAGCATTTCGGGAGGGCTTAAATACACACATTAACAGATTCAGAGGGTTGGAAAGATAAACAAAATGCATCAATTTTCCTCTATGTTTCCCGCATGTGCAAAAGACCCCCACTGCACGTGCAGAAAAGTGTGTCGTATTGTGGTCGGCACGTGCTTTTATTTCAGAATGTTCAACTTGCTTGCTCTATTTTCCACACGTGCGGTTGTGAGCCCTGAACTTGTGGCTGTGCATCCAGCACGTGCGGCTGCGAGCCCCACACGTGCAATTCTGGGCTCTGTTTGTGTAGTCCGAAAATCCTACAAATTCAAGTTGTTCACATGCATTTCTAAGGCCCAATTCACGCACTTTCACTTCAAAAACATGACATATAAACATAATAAGCATGAAACTCAAGCTCAAAGAGATATAACTTACTTTAATTTGACATATAGAACCCTATATTCCATATTTCCTTAATTTCCTTCATTTTTTCATGTTATACATATTGTATATGCTTACATGAGTTCAAAGCATGTAAAGACTCACGATTAAATCACAATTTCTCACAGTCCAACCCAAATCAAACTAAAAGTAAAGGAATTAACTCTTTAATCACACAACCCAAAGATTACACGTTCATTTTCATGAGATGTGTTCAATCAAGATCATAATCCATAAACCCTAACTTTTATGAGTGTCAAAGCTTCATTTTAAGGCTTGATTTTAACCAATTGAAGAAGGATTTATAGTATTCTAGTTGATTTGCACCTACCTTGAGCTATATCCCTTGAATTCCCTTTCAATTTTTCAATCTCCAGGTTCTTGGTTGAATTCTTCTCTCTCTCTCTTCTTTTCTTTACTTCAAATCTCCTCCAGGAGATATTTTTGAGCTTAAGTCTAAGTGTTAACTCTATGGCTTATATATCTATATATCTATATTTATCTATTATTTAGCTTATTGAGTCTAAGGCAAGCTTAGTTAAGAGTTTAGTCTAAATAAATTCAATTAATTCATTACGAATCAAATTTTTACAAAACTTTATATTATGTCCTAAAAATCATGTTAATCATAACTATAAAGTTGATTTCGGTTTATCACGTCTCTAAGGTAGTCAATGTTCAGTCCAAAGGTTGTAATTTCAACAGATTTTCTCATAATCGACAGATACAAGTTTATAAACATGTAATTCACACATTTAAACATGGAATTTCACATCAAGCACATAAGCACGCATATAATGAGGGAATTAAAGCATATAAGAGAGTCGGGTTGTTACACTCTTCCCCCTTAAAGAAGTTTAGTCCTTCAAGCTTGTGTCACTCATATGGACACATATTGTAAATCTTTGTCCCGTTACATTACCTTTTTCTCAAGTACTTTTCTTACCCTTTGATGTTCACATAACAGAAGTTCAACTCATTCTCCCTTAATGGTTGATAATCCACATTGTCATCATAGTCTAAAAAAAATAACTATTCCACAATACACATTAATATAAAGTGGACCTTGAAGTTGCCCCCGAAGCTGTAAAACATATCATACACTAGTTACTGACACCTTTGTTCTCATCAATCTCATAACTTATATACTTCTGTTCACTCCCTTCACATTTCTAATAATGAATATGTCCCCCAAATAGTCAGGCTCAATTTCAAATGATATCCATGAGTATACTTTCTTATTTTAAATGAATCAGCTTATTCTTGCTATCCACACGAAACATTCAAAATAGGTTAAGTGTTAGATACAACCTCAATAGCCCAAATTGTAATTCGTCCCAATTCATGTCGTTATCAAAAGTTATTCAGGAATATAGAGTAGATCTCGAAGTCAACTTTATAACATTAATTCATGAGACATCTTAATCATAACGTATTGTTCTCATCACTTTTCTCTGACGATCCAAATTTCTTCTAATGATTCACACATCTACATATAATTGCTGTCTCCAAATAGTCGATGATTAATCATGAATGATAATTTTACTTCTACTTATCTTCGCTAAACCAAAGTACTCCCCTTTCAATATCCCATAAAAAAAAATAAAAATAAAAATAAAAATCTTCCAAATAAATAAGTGACATTAATAACAAAGTCCACTTCTCGGTCCACAGAGGTAATTCCTAAGTAGAGAAACATTAGATTCAGAACAGAAGCATATCAGAGGAAGAGCAGGAACATATCTTGTAGAAATAACAGATGACGGTTGTATACAAATAGCATTAAATAGACATACAAATTAGAGCGGAACTTTACATACCTCTACCTTAACTATGTTTTCTGAGAGATCAACTCCTGTAGATGTATAACTCGTGTAAGAAAAAACAAATATTCCTCTTCCGACATTCTTAGGACTTCTAATGACAATATTATTCTAATAACTTAGGCCATTCTTATTTATTTAATACATATATCAATCTTCTAACGTGGAGTACAACTCTTCTCATATTCCAACATATTACTATAAGCACAAAAGTTCTTTAGCCTAATCAAGCTTGATAAAACAGAAGTCTATCAGGTATCCCAATGAGCATTCTACGTCTTGCTCATATTCCTTAACTTCGGCAAATATTTTTTTTTAGGGTCAAATCTTAGTTGTTCAAGCAGATGAATTCTAATTTCTCAAGACAAATGCGGATATGTCAAATTCTAACGTAAGTCTCTTTGTATGGACTAAACATATTCTAATTGATCTTTCTATTAAGTACCAACCTTCATTATGATTAAGTGTCTTGGAACCCCCTTTCTTTTTTGGACAATCATTCACTCGATGCCCTATTTCTTCACATCTGAAACATGCTCCTATGAGTCGATGACACAACTATCTTTGAGGCTTGTGACACATTGGACATGTTGGGGCGACTTTACTTCTTTTATGACCTTGCTTGGGATTGCTTTCTTCTATCACAACATTCTCAAGCCCATTCTTAGGCCTTCTCACTGATTTTACACTTAACTTTGTCTTTTGATCACGTAGTCTCTCACGACCTGATTGCATAGCTTTCATCATATCTTCTAGCATTTCTTCAACTTTGTCTAATTGCTTCGATAAGGATTCTACTTCCACTTCATCCTTATTTTTCACCATCTTTTCCTTATGACACAAGACAAAGGTAAGTCACATTTAGGGTAATATCGATTAACTTACAACATAACATTATACGTAATCACTTTCAAATCATGAGGCTCTACGGCTCATACATTGGGTCCTTCGCTAAATCAACATACCTTCTTTGCGTTACATAGTTTTCCTACTTTCAATCACTATAGTTCCACACTTCTTCATGAATCATCAAATAACGGTCTTTAGCCTTGAAGGTCAATTTTTTTTTTGAAACATATTTCTAAATCAAACAAAGTATTTCCTATATCGAATCCATTAACGAAACATTATACATGGTGCATCCATTTCCTTGAAAAAGAAAAATGCTTGGTGGCCCGAATTTGTGTAGCTTGAATGGCTCGGATGTGTCAAAACGACGTCGTTTCAACAAAACTGGCTTTTTACGGCACCACATCAACGACATACAACATATGTATGCCGTAGTTTCTTATTTTTACGACTTGCATTTTTTGCATCTCGTAAATACTTTTCCAATCATGCCGTGTCTATTGCGTAGGCCGTAAATAATAATAATGATAATTTTTTTACGACTTACAATGTTAGCCGTGAATAATAAAACTTTTTACGACATGCAAATGATATTCCGTTAATACATAAATTATTCACGACAAACGTATGTCAGCTGTCAAACATATTTTATTTTTTACGACACACAATTTATGCCATAAATGATATAACCCAAAAAAATTAGGCGCCCAATTAAAATAATATCCGGCGCCAATCACCAAAAACTCAAGCGGCATGAATCTTTTTTAATATCAAAATGCAAACTGTTTGGCTTCTAATTGGGAACATAGAGAGCTGTAAATCGGATAATAGAAGAGAGGGAGAAGATTTCGATCTGGAACAGAGCTCTAGGGTTCGAAAGGGAGACTGGTTCAGTGGCGCAAGATTTCGATCTGGAACAGTGTGCTCCCTCCGGCGGTGAGACTGGTTCGGCGACGGCGACGATCGACGGTTCGAAGGGGAAGGGTTGCGTTCTTGATGTATGTTTAGATTCCCCCTTCCCTTTCTCTCTCTGTCTCTCTCTGTCTCTCTCTCTCCATTTTATTCGGTTAGTTTCTCTGCTTATATAGCGAGAATAGTTACAAGAGGAAGTGAAGAATTTCTAGGTCGAATCCGATATCAGTCCGATATCAATCCATTAGCAAAAAATTTATGATTAAAAATTCTGTTTATAGTGTAGATTTTACACTGTAATGTGGAGTCCACGTTCTATCGTGAACTGAAATTCTGTGATTCTGCTTATCAGTAACGTTAAACAGAATTTATTCGTGATTTTGGACTTGAACGTTGAACTGAAATTCATGAATTTATAGTGTAGATTTTAGTAACACACGTTATATAGAACTGATTCGAAATTTTTAATCACGAATCATTTCAGAAAATAAGCTGATTCGAATCATTTCAGAAAATCTATGATTAAAAATTCTGTTTGTAGTGTAGATTTTATTCACGAATCAAGTGGACTATCCATGAATTTCTAGGTTGAATCAGTAACACAGATTCTATTTATATTGTAGATTTTATTCGTTCTGAAATTCTGTGATTCTGGACTCCACATTAAACAGAATTTATTTGTGATTTTACACTGTAATGTGGAGTCCACGTAATTTACTCTATAGCATTAGAATGAATGAGTGATACTAAAGAATGTTATGATGAATAGGTAAAATTTAGAAATAGATTCATAGATCGCAAATAGAAACTGCCATAAAATATAGTTGTATTTAGCTAATGTGCTACAAAGGCAATGACAGTAGGAGTAAAGATATAATAAGAAGTTATGTCAACTCTAAACCAACATTATCAGAATGTTATGAGTGGCCAATGCAAGTACCTGAAATTGTCATGTTTTAAACTAATCTTTACGAAGAAACACATTAACCAATAGAAGATACAGTGGAAAGGTCTAATTAACTGATCAACCTTAATGGATGCTATGAGCCTATTGAAATACTTGAAAATGCCAAATAAATCTACAAAAGTACTGACAAATGAGAGAATAATTGACAAATAATTAATCAACCATGGACAGAGATCTGAAAGCGGTGTCAACAATAATTACTGGGGAAAGAAGGATCTTACAAGATACACAAATCCCTTTGAAGCTTCAACAATGGCTTTCATTTGATCTGTTGGAGTAGTAGGTATTATGAGCAGCACCTTAATTGCAAAATAAGGTGAGAATTATACTTTTATCAGAAACAAAATAGGGCAACAAGTTAGGAAGCATAGATACAGATACGGATACGACACGATACGGATACGGCGATACGACAAAATCTTAAAAAATAGGATACCGGTACGGCTAGGATACGTTTGTGAAAAATATATTTTTTAAAATTATTAATAGTGATTACACATAAGCTAAAGAACGTTGAGAAACCACAATGTAATTTTATAATGTAAAATACTAATCTTTAAGAATTTTGTATTAATTTAAACTAGTAGCATATTTACTTTTTAAATTTTTAATAGGTCTTGCAAATATTTCATTTCAATATCAAGTTTAATATATTTATATTACAATAATAGAATAATTCACAACTTGTTTCTATACTTTTTCCTTTGACACTAGTGAAAAATATTGTATTCAAGTTTATTTGCTTATTTATTTATTAATATTTAATTTTAGCATTGTTATATTCTCTTGTTAATTCTTACTTTCTATGTAGTTATAAGGGACATGCATGAAATAATTAAGATACATCAATTTGATAAATTCTATTATTTAACTCACTATGCTCTTCTTATCGAAGAACTTAACAAAGTATTAGAAAAATATTCTCATATTTATACTTGCAATTATATTATATTATACTACTATGCAAGAAATGTTATAATTCTAATTTCATAAAACAAGCAAATATGATTTGGAGTATCCGATACTTCAAAATTAAATATCCGATACTCCAAAATTAATGAAAAAATAATTAAGAAGTATCCGATACTTTTAATAAGTATCCGATACGTATCCGCGAGTATCCAAAGAGTATCGGTATTTGATACGGATACGATACGGATACGTCACCCTATTTGAAGTATCCGTACTTCATAGGCAACAAGTATATACTAATAACAAATTACCACACTAGCAGGTTATCAACTTCATCAAAGTATGCTTACAAATATGCAGCAAAACATATAACTCCTCTAGTCTTGATAAGCTTTTCAAAACCCCTGGAGAAATACTATGCACCTGACATTTCAACAAATACATCAACCTCATGTGAGTAAGGTTTCCTATTTCTTTCGGTAGCACCTTCATAGAAAAGCCAGTAATGCTGAGAATTTCCAGATTACTTAGAGCACATGGCAATTTTGCAACTCTTGTGATCAGCTTCAAAAGGAATTCCAATGTCTTTCAATTCAAGTTTCTTCCAAACATCATCTAGTATTACAAGGACTCTCTTACTCAATATTCTTTGTTTTAGCTCCCTTGCTCTCTCAGGTAAATATTTCTCACTGAATCAAAAACCCAACTGCGCAGCTATCATACCTTGAATAACAGTGAAGGATGGGTCTTGGGTCATTGAACAATTTATTTTCTTCTGCTTTCTTGGCAACTTCTTTCACCAATGTTGTCTTGCCAACCCCTCCCATCCCACATATCCCAATCATATTGATACTATCATCTGTCAGTGCCTCCATGACTTCATTCATAATCAATCTTCTAGATTCAAAACCCTTAAAACCTCTGGCGGATATGAATGTGGATGCGATCCCCATCGGAGCACTAGAGAAGTCTCCTAATCCTTCACATAGCTCTACCACATCTTCAATCTTCTTCTTAGCTTCCTTGCTCGATGAGTATCGTGATTTCAAATTTGGGCACCACCCTTTGTCTTCATCACGAAGGAATCTTTCGGTCTCTTTGCTAACTTCATCCACCGTTGTCAACCACTGCTCAACACTAGGTTCAATAATTTGCCCATTCCTTTGTATTCTATCTCTTGTGTCTTCCAATTTTTGGACTTGTTTTTGAGATTCTTAATGTTTCTGTTATAGAAAATGAAATATCCAAATTGGCTAACTGGGGCAACCAATTGTTCACCAACTGAAGCAACAACATCCAGAGCCATTTCTCACCTCTGTTTCAATTAGTGTAGTAAAATGTAAAATGTAAAAAATTGAACAGAACAAAGAGCTTTTCTACAAAAATTGAAATGGAAATCAAGAAAGGAAGCTTTGTATAACATATAATATAGGAAAAGTCAAGAGACCCGTCCATATCCACCCAGAAAATTTTGGATGAGTGATTGTGTGGTTGAGATTAATTTGTATAATGTGAAGCCCATGTGAAATGTGGTAGAGAATAATTTCTAGGTACTTTTTGGATTGAGTGCTCGTTTGGCATAAATGGTTTGGGTTAAAATAGTCATAAAAAGACAAAATAAGCTAAAAAGTTAATAAGACAAAATGTCACATCCAAAGTATAATCATTTTATTTTCTCTCAGAAAAGTCAAAAAGTTCAAAATGTCCATCCCAAACGAGATTTTTTAGTCTTAGATTATAATAGCCAAAAAGTCAAAGAAGCCAACTCACATCTCAAACGAACCCTGATATGGATGTGTTTGTAGTATTACTCTATAATATAATCTTTTGATCTCCAATATTTTCAATGTGTCAATTTGCTCTATAACCTATTAAATTTGTCACTAAATGGTCCCTACCTCTGTTAATTTCTACAATTGATAATAGAAGTAAGGGTATTTTCATGAAATCACATATGCTATTGAGAAAGTTAGGGACTAAATTGATACAATTAAAATATTAGAGACGAAATTGAAACATATCACACACTTTGGAGACTATTTTTTTTTATCTCATTTTACTAATATATAAATGTAGTTTGAAAAAGATGTCTTCCATAATCAATTCCAGATGGAAATGGAGGTAGAGAGTATTTAGTGACAAAATTAATAGGTTGGGGACCAAATGACACATTTGAAACATTAGAGACTAAAGTGACACAAGATGCATACTTTGAGAATCATTATGTATTTAACTCTAATATAATTAATTTAAAATTTTCTTTTGGGTCCCCTAAAGCTTGGATAAAAATACAGTAAACTTTACAATTTTAGCATAATTGCATGAGACTTCCTTAAGATTTTAATTTACATAACACTTAACCTAATTTTCAACAATAGTTCAATAAGTCAAATGGATGAAAAATGATATCATTTTCTCTTTTACTTTGATTACACTTTTCATCCATGTACTTTAATCCAAATTTAACTTTAGTCCCTATAGTTTTAAATTAAACAATTTAGTTCTTACATTTTTAATCTAATTTCAATTTGGCCCTTACGCCTAAATTTCTATTAAAATGTGTACCTGTGTCTCTCCTGTATAGATGAGAAAGAGCAAGAACGGCTTAGAAACCCGCCCAGTAGTGAAGAAGATGAGCAAAGCTATCCACCAGCCTCTGCTTCAGTCTTCACCTCCAACAATAAAATTGAGAATTTGAATTGGAAAATTGAATTTGTTAAAAAAGATTTCAGCTTTCGAATATTTATTGCTTTACTTGTCAATTGTCGTGTTCACAAAAAAAGAAAAAATAATATTGATTGCTTTGCTTGTGAGTTGTGATCAATTTTGTCCTTACAATCTACTTTGCTTGTGATATATAAAAGGTGATCAATATTCTTTTGATGTGTCATGGTTTATTGGCTTAAAACAAGAGTTCAGAACTTGGTCTTCACTCTACTATGCTGGATTAGACAACTTAATTGGACCCATTACAAGTTCTATTTGGATGATTCATTTTATTCCATTTGTAAACTCAATACAACAACGAATTAACGAATTGTACTAGCTCAGTTGTCCAATTGACAGTCTCAATTGAGATGTTAGGCACTCAATCATTATTAAAGACATAAATCATAACATCATTTTGTGTAAAAGAGATAATTATAACATTATTTTTTAATTCATAAACCTAACTACAATAACTAATAAATATATGAAAAAGTATTATTTAAATTAAAATCCGAATGAATGAGTATAATTATTTTAAATTTGTGAGATTGAAGATAATATTCCACTTTAGATACACTTTATAAAGTAATTATTTTTATAGTGTGTTCGGATTTTGGATTTAATTTTTTTTTAAAAAAATTATACTTTATTCACATTTGACTTATTTTTCTCTTTTTCATTTTATAAATTCTTATCCAAATTTATAATTCAAATACAATTTTAACATAATTATTTTGTGGTCTTTCAATTGAGTAGCTAATATAGCCTTCGTTTGGGATGCAGGTAGGCTTTTTGGCTATTTAACTTGGAGCTAAAAAGTCTCGTTTGGAATTTTTTGGCTTTTTAAAATTTTGTGAGAGAAAAAATAAAATGATTCAGTGTGTTTGGTTTGAGTTTTCTGGATTAAATTTTTTGAAAATTGATTTTTTTTGTTTTTTGTGTTTTTTTGTTTTTAGTGAATATTTTTAAAATTTTAAACATTTTTTTTTACTTTTTTAGATGTACCTTACTTAGATGTATCTAAAAAGTAAAAAATTTGTGAAAAAATATTTTAAAAAATTAATAAATACATAAAAATACAAAAAATGTATTGAATTCTTGTATTTTTTTTTTTGTATTTTTGGAGTTCACCAAACAAAAATTCGTATTTTTTTTTTAAATTGAGTTCAAAAAGTGGAACCAAACATGATGATTACTACTCTAATATTTTGAAGGATCTAGCTCGATTAGGTGTTGAAGCATCCAATCTGTCCATCAGCCTCAATTAGGCTAACTTCTATAGGTGTCAATCTAACAACTAACAACTGACTTTTGCCGATAAAAAAAAAAAAAAAATTGTCTCTAGAATATAGCTATTCCTTTTGGTTAGCATCTTTGAAGGAAGATGTGATTAAGAGAGTCTTGAGCCAATTGATTTTCATGTCTATGAATCTTTAGATCATCAAAGTAATGTGTAGTAGTTCAAGACAACAGGCAATTTTGATTGGCTATGTAGTCCCTATGCGAGATGTTAAGGTCAAGTTTCTTGGGTCCTAACATAGTTGTATCCGTGGTTGGGTGGCAGACCTAAATTCAGGCACGACTAAAGCGTCCAGTTATGATTTAAATTTCATGTATAAGGTGTCTTTTATATATTTTTTTTTAGTTTTGGGAAGATTAATATTTAATCTTATTTTGGGGCAGTTTTGCTATTGTGCCTTCTATTTTGTACTCCATTGTCCCATTTTCTTAGTCCATCTTTTCATTTTGGGATGTCCCAAAATGTTAGTCCTATTTGAAAAATGAAAGTAAAAATTGTGTAGTTTTCCAAATATGTTAGTGATGGTGGTAAACATGCAATGTACCTATCTTAAAATTAAGTCTATATAAGTTGGTGTGTAGCTGATGTATTGAAATCTTTGTTGAATTAAAAATATGTATTTTAGCTAATATTCTCTCTACTACCCTTCTAGGGTCCATTACAGCCCCTTGGGCTTATGATAGTAGTTCCCGCATCTAATTGGATCTGAACTGCATGAGATTGCAAGGTGTAGGAATGTCTTTTTGGAAACTAGATTAATGTATTTTTTTTTTGTATTTTTGGTATTTAGTGAATTTTTAAAAGATTTTTTTTACAATTTTTTTACTTTTTAAGTGTATTTATGTTAGGCGTATCTAAAAAGTAAAAAAATTGTTTAAAATATTAAAAAATTCAGTAAAAACAAAAGAACACAAAAAATAAGAAAGTAGAATTTTCTGAAAAGTGTTTTTTGAAAAGTGGAAACAAGTAAGATATGATTTGGATGTGACATTTTGTCTTATTAATTTTTTAGCCTATTTTGTCTTATTGATTTTTTAACTTACTTTGTCTTTTTATAATTATTTTAGTCTTAAACCCTTTATGCCAAACATAGCCATAATGTTCCGTTTTAGATTGTGTTTAGTTTATGAATTTGAGAATTTTTCATTTTCAATTTTAAATTTCTCATTATGAATCAAATTTAACCTTAACTTCTTTTACAAAGTGGAAATGACGAAAGTGGACCCACCCATCCCTTTGTATTCTAAACTTTGCGTGTATCCAAACAGGCACTACATTTTATTAGATAAATTATAGTCACCTTCCCTAAGGGTCTTAACTTTGCTTGAAAAGATGCATGTACTTAGTAATATTCAAATAACAAAAACTTTCAGTGGCTTAATGCTATTGTTTTGAATTAATGCTTATTATTTATTGTCTTCTCATATTTATTCACTTCATAATTTATGTAACCCTCTCGATGGTTATCTTTTCAATTATTTGACATGCAGAGTATCTCTCCTAAGCTTTGAACTAGAAACTACATTGAAGTTGACAAGATTTCTCTGGAGGTAGACTTGTTAACCCATTTTCTAAGGTGATGACTGCAATATACTATCATACTTGAATGAATTTAGCTTGTAGGAGTTGGATAATATCCCAAAATCTCTTTGATGGAAATGTGCAATCAATATATAAGTATAAATTAATGACACTGTATTATTTATACAATGCTGCCTGTATCATTTTATTCTACATTTTATAAAGGTATGAATTGTATAGATTTCAATTTTGAGTTGTATTTAGAATTTTTTTGGGATTTATTTTTTTAAAATATTTAAGAAAAATTTATTATTTTATTTTAAATATATAATTTTTATTTAAACATTTTAAATTTTTTTATTTTAAATACTTTATTTTATTTTGTAAATATTTTAATTTTTTAATATTTTAAACTCAAAGTACAACTCCACACTCATTGAGAACCATTAATGGGAAATTGAAATTCTAAATCACCATCTTGGTGTATTTGCTAATCATTTAGAGCATTGAAGCATGTAACTAGTTCGAGCGATTTTTGTGGATGCAATTTGTTAGCAAGTGGAAAGTTGAAGATGGATAAACAATGGGTACATTTTCCAAGGTTTATTTCCAAACACAACCATAAATATGCTTTCAAATGTTAAGCTACTCAAATTTTTTTTTTTGGATGGAATTAATAATAATTTAAAATTTTCAGAGTATCGGATGAGTATTTGAATGGAGCGAGAAAATTTGTCAATATGGCTAAGGAGAATGCAGGGAATCCCGATATGATCATATGCCCTTGTGGAAGTTGTCGAAACCTATCACAACAACATTGTGATACTGTGTTGGAGCACTTAGTCATGAAAGGGATGGATCCTAGATATAAGTCATGGGTTCTTCATGGGGAACCATTAAGTGAATCTATAGAAGTTCAAGAGAATGCTGCAATTCCAGAGACTTATAGGATGTTTAGAGATGTTTATGTACAAGATGATTTTTCGCAACCTACAAATGAAAGTAGAGAGAGGGAGTTCACACAAGCATTAGAAGATGTTGAAACTCCTTTATATCCAGGTTGTACAAAGTACACTAAGTTTTCAGCAATTGTCGCTTTATACAAGCAAAAAGTTGTGCATGAGGCATCTGATAAGAGTTTTGATGAACTCTTGAGAATAGTGTCTGACATGCTACCAGAAGGTAACACACTTGTGCAATCTATATATACAACAAAGAAGTTGCTTAAAGCATTTGATCTAGGGTATGACAAAATACATGCTTGTGTCAATGATTGTTGTTTATTTAGAAAAGAGTTAGAGCATATGGAGACATACCCAAAATGCAATTGTTCACGTTGGAAAGTAGATAAGCGAACTAAGAAGATTAAAAAGGGGGTTCCAGCGAAGGTGTTGCGCTATTTTCCCATAATTCCAAGATTTAGAAGAATGTTCAGGTCACAAGTAAAAGCAGAACAATTAACTTGGCATTCCACTCACAAAAGTCAAGACGGAAAGATGCGACATCCAGTTGATTCATTGGCATGGGATTCAATTGATCAAAAGTGGCCCTCCTTTACATTGGATCCACGAAACCTTCGACTTGATCTTGCAACAGATGGATTTAATCCTTTTGCAAATCTTAGCTCAAGGTATAGTTGTTGGCCAGTGATGTTAGCGACTTATAATCTTCCTCCATGGTTATGCATGGCAAAAGAAAATATAATGTTGACATTACTTATACCGGGACCAAAGCAACCAGGGAATGACATAGATGTGTATCTGCAACCACTTATAGAAGACCTACAAGAATTATGGAATAATGGTGTCGAGGTCTATGATGCAGCCAACAAGTCTATGTTTAATTTGAAGGCTATGTTGATGTGGACAATAAATGATTTTCCAGCTAATGGGAACTTAGCTGGATGTGCCACAAAAGGGAAAGTTGCTTGTCCTATATGTAGCATTAACACATGCTCACAGTGGTTAAATCACAGTAAGAAGATAGTGTACATGGGCCACAGGCGATTTCTATCTGCGGATTATCCATTTCTAATGAAAAGAAGTTGGTTTGATGGAAAGCAAGAACTTCGGGGGAATTCTAAACCATTGAGTGGATCTGATGTGTTAGATGCAATAAAGGACATTGAAACTAATTGGGGAAAGACTACAAAGGAAAGGAAAAGAAAAAGGGACCAGACGAAACAAAAAAAAGACCAAAAAGAGTTCGATTGCGTCTAACAATGGAAGAAGAAGTCCATATTTTTCAATCTACCATATTGGGATGTAAGCGCTTGGAAATTATGATTTCATATTCATTCGTCTATCGGTAGTCTTAGTTAAATTTTTTCTTATAATTTTTTGAATTATAAATCTTTGTTTGATGTTACAGGCATTGCTTTTACGTCATAACTTGGATTTGATGCACATCGAGAAAAATGTTTGTGAAAGCATTTTATGTACACTTTTAAATGTTAAGGGAAAATCAAAGGATGGTCTTAAGGCCCGTAAAGATTTGGCGAAAATGGGAATTAGAAGTGAATTGCATGCAGAGGATAAAGGATCCCATTTTTACTTGCCACCAGCGTCACATACACTTTCCAAGGATGAGAAGAAGATTTTTTGTTCTAGGCTACAAGATTTGAAGTTGCCTGATGGTTATAGCTCAAATATTGCTAATTGTGTTTCAGTACAAGAATGCAAGTTAATTGGACTCAAGTCACATGATTGTCACGTCTTGTTTCAACAACTGTTGTCAGTTGCATTAAGAGGACTTTTGCCAAAAGGACCAAGGAATGCAATATTCCGATTGTGCTCTTTTTTCAATCAGTTATGTCAAAAGGTGATTGATAGGAATATGATAGAACAACTTGAAAATGATGTTGCCGAGACTTTGTGTATACTAGAAAGATTCTTCCCTCCATCATTTTTTGATATTATGGTACACTTAACAATCCACTTAGGCCGAGAAGCTCGCTTATGTGGACCAGTGCAGTTTCGTTGAATGTACCCATTTGAAAGGTTAGTCTATGTCATATTTTAAATATAAGTATTATTTTTTGTCTAAAATAAATAAACTTCTAAAAAAATTTGTTAAGCTGAATTTTATTGTTGTTTAGATACATGAAGATACTTAAAGGTTATGTTAAAAATCGTGCAAGACCTGAGGGATGCATAGCAGAATGCTATCTAGTTGAAGAGTGTATGCAATTTTGTAGTGGGTATACGAAGAAAGCAGCTGAAATAGGTGCTCGACATAATCGCAATACAGAGTTTGAAAGTGAAACAATACTAGAAGGACACCCAATTACTTCAGGAAAATCAATAATGATACCAGATGATGTGTTGCAAATTGCTCATCGATGTGTTCTAATAAACAGTGCAGAAGTCCAACCTCATATAGAGTAAGTATGATGAGTTAAATATTACTCTGTAATTTTCTATTCAAATAATGTTGTGTTCTTACCATTTTACTTTTTTATTAGGATGCATGCAGAGGAGCTTAAGCGTTTGGATAAGCGTTTCTTGAGGGATGCTGCATTACTACATTCTAGACAAATGGATACATTTTGTCAATGGTTAAAAGAGAAGATCAATTCTTGTGGTGGTGAGGTGTCAAATACATTGAAATGGCTTGCAGTTGGCCCAAGAAATAATGCAATGCCATACTTGGGTTATGTCATTAATGGGCATCGCTTTCATACAACCAATGTTGAGAGGGCTACACAAAATAGCGGTGTTTCCATTGAAGCAGAAACTTTTTGTCGAGCTAGTAAGAGAGATACCACACAAGTTGTGAGCAAAATCTCTTTTTATGGGGTTATTAAAGAGATTATTTTGTTGGACTATTATAAATTTCAAGTCCGTTTATTTAAATGTGATTGGGCAACTACTGGAAATGGTGCCAAAGTTGAAGATGGATTTACTTTGGTTAACTTACAACAGGGAAGACATCAATTTGAGAGAGATCCATTCATTCTAGCCTCACATGCAAAACAAGTGTTCTATTTGAGAGATAGTGATACATCTAGTTGGGAAGTTGTACTTAAAGCACCCCCAAGAGGTTTTCATGATTTTGAAATGAATGATGATGATGCTTATATGCCGTGTGGACATGTCGATATAGCTAGGCTTGAAATGGCTAACAGTAATGAAGATGAGTGCTATGTAAGGACTGATTGTGAGGGTGTGGAAGTGTTGCGTGATGAATGAGTTACTAAAAATGTTTTGTTGACCTATTAATGAAATAAAATAACATTATGAGCACTTGTGTTCTATTGTGATTGATGTTTAAGAACCTGTTTTTCTCTATGTAATATTTGTGGTATGTATTAAATTAATTAGTTCTTTTTTCTCTTTTTATAATACTCTTTCACATACTTATCTCATATAAAGGATATAACTAGTTGGGAAGTTGTACTTAAAGCACCCCCAAGAGGTTTTCATGATTTTGAAATGAATGATGATGATGCTTATATGCCGTGTGGACATGTCGATATAGCTAGGCTTGAAATGGCTAACAGTGATGAAGATGAGTGCTATGTAAGGACTAATTGTGAGGGTGTGGAAGTGTTGCCTGATGAATGAGTTACCAAAAATGTTTTGTTGACCTAGTAATGAAATAAATAACATTATGAGCACTTGTGTTCTTTTGTGATTGATGTTTAAGAACCTGTTTTTCTCTACGTAATATTTGTGGTATGTATTAAATTAATTAGTTCTTTTTTCTCTTTTTGTAATACTCTTTCACATACTTATCTCATATAAAGGATATAACTTGATTTGGTTTTATTCTTTCATTTTTTCAGGTGGAATTCTTTTCAAAGGATTTAGTAATTGAAGTTGCCAACCAACAATATGTGTGCAGAAGTAACTTTATACATTATTTAATATAAATTTAAACTTGAAAAAAGTGTTTTTTTCTAACTTATTTATTTTGGATACACATTTGTAACTAATTATTGGTTGCCTTGTCTTTATTTTTTCATGTGTCATAAAGAGTTCTAAAAAAGTAGCGAAAAGACATAGTAAAGAGCAAGAAGCTGTAGTTGCTACCACAATGGATGACAGAAGCAATGGACCCATCAGAATTTTAGGTGCAGGTTCCAATACTCGACAAGTTGAATCACCAAATGTAGATGGAGACTCTAGTCAAGAACCGAAGAAGAAAACTAGGGGGCCGTCAAAATTAAAGATGCATGACAAAGGAAAACAAAAGTGTGATGAGATCGACTTCAATGAAAGGAACCAACCGATAGGACCTGAATCGGTACAATTATGAACCTTAGAAGGGATCTTAGCTCGAGAGTTGGTGCCAATTAACATAGATTATTGGGTTGATGTTCCAGTTGAGATTAAGGATAAGTTATGGGATTGTGTGAAGGTAATATGTTTATGTAGTTAATTATAATTATTATATAACAATTCTTAATTTTTTTGCCTCTTCTAATACTAAATGTTAGCTTATATGAAAATGCAGCTTAGATACAAAATGCATGATATCCACAAAACACATGTGATGCAAAAGTTTGCAAAATTGTGGCGCAATCACAAGTCTGAACTATCAAGAAAAGTAAGAACTCTTGCTGCAACAGGTAAAGGTCATTTAGCAAGTAATATTGCCCTCACCAAACCTGATAACATTGGAATGGCTTAATGGAAGACATTTGTGAAAAATCGACTTTCAAAAGGCTTTATTGTAAGTTTTCTTTTTCATAACAATTTTATGTAATTGTAACTTTTTATTAGAAGCTCATTTCTTTTCAAAACAATTAAGATAAAGATTATAAATTCTTAATAAATGTTGACATTTCAAATGTTTACACTTAGGAAAAGAGTAACAAATTCAAAGATATGAGGGCAAAGCAAAATGTCTTACACACCATGAGTCGAAAAGGTTATGCACGATTAGAGGAAGAAATGGTAAGTTTGACAATATAGGCAACATTTATTTGTAAAGCATTTTGATTTTTTTTCTTCTTATTTTGAACTATGTTTTATTGTTTTTTTTTTTTTTCTTTTTAATAGAAAAATCAGAGCCCACACCCAGATTCTATATCTAGAATTGATGTTTGGATTAAAGGACATACAAGGAAGAAAGAAAAACCTGTGAATGAAGTGCTTCAGGCAGCAGTGGTATGAATTAGCTTAATATGTATATTTTGCATTTTAACTGTGTATTAAATGATACTCAACCGACCAACTTGGAAAAATTGTGTGAACTAATTTGTTGTTGGTTGTTTATGGAGGGTTGCTTGCTACTCTCACAACTTTAGAAATTATGTCATTCCTTGCCTTACTAAGTCACCAAACACCTATACAAACTGTAACGCCCTCGGAAATAAACCCATTAAATATATATAACATCAACATGCAATGTTAAAAAGGAAACAGTTCATTATAACATTCATCAGAGTCTTACTAAACAAAAGCATTACATGTAACATCAAATTAACTGCCCTACAGGCTTACATCTTTCCAAGCCAACACTTGGACACAAAAGTATGAGTTCTAACTCAAATACAAATAAAGCCCTAGGCTTGTGTGTTTACATGTACTAATAAATGAAAGCAAATAACTGAAAATAATCTTCAAAATCCAAGTCCTTCCAAGCTATGTCCTTGGAGGTAGCTTATCACCTCTTGCCTTACTAAGTCACCAAACACCTATACAAACCCTTGAAGCATAACTTTTTTGCTAATTTTACAGCCACATATGGTCTACAGATGGATATTCACACCACAGATAGTCTTAAATTTTCAAAGTGATTTGTCAGGAAATGATGTATCCTCTGTATATGTTGGAAATGTGATTTAAAAGAACTTAGAGTGGAATATATCATATTCAATATCTTTGTAATTGCTTATTTGTTGCTATTGTTGATATAGCATAGCATTGCATTAGTTTTGGATATCACCATTTTTTTAATAAAAAAATGTATATATTGCATTATGATTTAATTTTTTAATAAATGTTGTCTATTGTAGAAAAAGGTTGAAGAGCTTCACAAGCCTTCTACAAAAGAAGGCCCAATGTCTACCAAAGATGATGCAATTGTTCATGCGTTTGGTCCAGAACGCCGTGGTAGTGTACGAGGGCTTGGATTTGGAGCATTGCCATCGAAAGTTGATGTACAAGTGTACCAAAATCAAAACGTGAGAAAACTAAATCAACAAATGCTGCTTTTACAACAAGAACTCCAAGAGATGAGAGCTGAAATTTTAAAAGGAAAGAGGCAAAATGAGGTAAAAAGATTAAGAATTTGACAATATATGTTATTTGTATTGATGTTTCATAAAAGTTTTTAAAAATTTTCAATTAAAACTTGTAGGAACCAAGCGAAGATGCAATGGGTAGGAAACGTTCTCATGGAGAAACCTAGGTAAAATTGCCTTAAATCATTTGAGGGAAAGTCTTTTTTTGAAAAATAGCTTTCATGTCAGTTTAGTTTAAAAATAATAAAATTGTGTTGATATGTGTGCATAGGAATTTAACAAGATTTCAAGAAATCAATCTCTTTGACAATGAATCAAAATAGAGTTTGTTACAGATATTTATATCTTCTAATATAGCTGATTAGTCACTAATTCTAACCAACTATAATAGTATCTCATTAGTCACTAATTCTAACAAAATAAAATAAAACATATACATATATTATAATAGAGAATAGTATTTCAAGCTTTTGTAATATGTTGATTTGTCTTCATATATAGCAAGATTTTTATAGAAGGATATTTCACAAATTTTTTAAACAAATTAATTACAACTTGTAGGAGCCAAGCAAAGGGACAAATGACAAGAAACATTCTTATAGACAAATGCAAGTAAACTCGCACATTTCTCATGCTTGTACTTTTGCTTGCTTCATTTTCTACTCAACCTTTTGTCATTTTTGCATATGGATCCCATCATATATTAAATTTGAGTAAACAAATACTTCTTACGATTGTATTACAATTTTTTTAGGGTAAGAAAAATAGTGCAAGTGGTGAACATAGGGTGCACAAAGGTGGTGAACATAGGATGCACTCACAAGAAAATATTTGGGTAAATTTTGTATAGCATTATTACTTACATAAATTTTGTTATGTTTATACTTTTGTTTGCTTACTTTTACTCTAGAGTTTTTGTCAATTTTGCATATGGATCCCACATCATCTACTAAATTTTTTAGTAAACAAATATAACTTGATATTGTATTAAATTTTTTTTAGGGTGATGAAAATAACGAAGGCTGTGAAAATGAAGACATTTGGGTAAATTTTCTATGGCATTAATTATCTTAATTTTGTCTTCAATTCATTAGCTTATTTTATGGTTTCTTTCATGATAGTTGCATGATGAGAATGAAATTGGAAATGATGGATCTAACTTGGACAATGCCAAATGCAAATTGTTGTATTGGGGTGGGACAAAGGTGGTGGTTGCGGAAGGCACAATTGCATCAACAGATTCTAAACAATTGGTACATCACGTGCCTCTTGGCCCTGGGTGTTGGAAAGTGTGGGTTAATCATGTCAAAGTCAATGCACCATTGTTTCGCCCTAATCGTGAGATGTTTGTACTTGAGGATGCTATTGGAAGCACTATTGCTTGGCCAAACCATTTCATCAGCTTTGATTTTGAGTAGAAATTCTAATATCTATGGATAATTTTTGATATGACTTTGATGCTTTTGGATATAGTTTTGGATAGTTTAGAAACTCTAACATCTTTGGATAGTTTTGGATTTTGTTTAGAAACTTGTATATGATATAATTTTTGGATGGTTTAGAACTTTTTGGACAATTAGAAGTTAAGGATAGTTCTTTTTGAGTGGTTTTGAATTAAGGTTAGTTTTTGGACGTTTGGAATGTATCGACAATTGTTGAATGTTCATAACTTATATATGGATATAGTTTCTTTTTGATGGTTGAAACAATATTTTGGTTGTTGATTGATGCTTGTTTGTAATATTTGTTAGCTTGTACAAAATTGGTCAAATAGAACTCACTGAATTTAAAAAAATATTTTTTTAAAAAATTGCATATTCTACGGCAGGCATAATAAGTCGTTGTAGTACATATTTTACAGTGCGCAATCAACGTCGTTATTTGTCTCACCAATTAACAGCGTGCAAAAGTAGTCGTAAAAAAAGTAATAACAATGTACAAAATCTGCCGTTAAATAGTTTTTAACGGCGTACTATAGCATGTCGTAGAAAAAGTAATAATGACTCACAAAATCTGCCGTTAAATAGTTTTTAATGCCGTACTATAGCATGTCGTAGAAAAAGTAACAACGACGCACAGAATCTGCCGTTAAATAGTTTTAACGGCGTACAAAGTATGTTATTGAAAATGTATGACTTTTCATGACTGGTTATAATATGACGCGCGCTGCATGTCGTAGAAGGGTTTTTACGGCATGCATTGCGCGCCGTAAAAACCCTTTTTTGTTGTAGTGTTTACACTCAAAACGATGTCGTTTTGGGTGTTTCGAGCCATTCAAGCCATGAATTTTCGGGCCACTTAGCATTGTTGCTTAAAAAATTGATAGCAACACTTTTTTGATAATAAAGAAATATGAACACTTAATTTCGATTCCACATAGGCATTTTATTCGCAAATAGTAGAGGTAATCCCAAATAGGGACATATCAGATCTAGATTCATAAAAATAAACACTTACCAGGATCAAACATTGTGCATAAATACGTAATACCCTAAGGTTTATCAAACCTTTCATAATTACACCTACCATGTTGTTCAGAGGCATGTTATCAGAAACTTGTCAGACTTTTCAGAAATTATCAAATGATGGAATTAAACATGTTTAAACTTGACAAAATGACCTCTAATCCAATAGGAGAATTCATTTAGGGATGCCACTATAAAGCAAAACGTAACTTTACAAAACATAACATTTCATAATGTTTCAAAATAAATGCTTAAGAACATAATTTTGACAAAACATAGCATATCATAAGTAGTTCAGAATTTCTTAGCATATCGTAGCATTTTAGAAGTTACTTGTATACGAAAACTTCTATAGAATTCACAAAATATCGTATAATGTCTCACAACAATAGTTTCAATGATAGAAACATATCAACTCTAGAACAGAATATAATAGAGTCAAAATAGAATCATATCAGAGTCGGAATAAATACATATATGAGTAAGAATAAAATCATATCTTCCAGAAATTCGTTGATCATTTTTAACAATAACAGGTGTAGCTTGCTTTTCGTGCTCCTTTCGAATACAACTAGCCCTACAGTTCAGACTCCCATGGTTCTAAATCTGATTTCACAAAGTGCAATGTGAAACAGTGAAAACACAAAAAGAGTTCAAATCCCGCAATTCTTTCAGAAAATCGATGTTTGAATCAAATGCAAAAAATGGACTACTTTGCCAGATTTTGGAGTCACCACCTAAATATTTTTTGACAAATTTAGGAAACCCATGAATCGTGCCAAAGGCTACTTATCCGTCATCACCAAAGTGTCTCGGCTTGGGAACTTAGGTATGAGAGGGATAAATTGAGCACCCCTACTCACCCGATCAAAGATCGGCCTCTACTAATCATGATGTGATTTTTATTTACATTATATACTCTTGTTCCGATTGTTAGACTAACATTACTATGTGTTGCACACAAGTATAGACTAATTTGCAAAAGTTGGAACGCTTTGATTTCATGTTTGTTTGAAAATTGTTTTTGATACTCGTCACTTGAAAAAAACGAGCTTGTATGTACATTTATCAACTTATCCCAATTGTAGCAATTAGCCTTCATCCACAGGCATTCAAACAAGTATATCACTTAAGCACTTAGCCTCATGGAAAGCATGCTCGATGTGGCAACACAAACATTCAATGTGATACGCTAAAACAATAAGTGTTCACCTAGTACTCCAAGGCAAGCCAAATAGAGAAAAATGATTAGAAAACATGTATGTTCCCAAACCATACAATGTGACTACTACAACGCACACATTTTTGCCACTTTTATAGGCTCGGCTATGAGCATGGCATATGATCCAATTCCAAGACATGTGATAAATCACGTATTCAAAGGATGAAAGTGAAATTGACATTGGTTAGTATGATGAGCCAAACCAAAATGCATGTGAGACGAGTGTATGCAAACATGAGAAATGTTAAGAAACATGATGCTCTACACTACCATTATAAGTGGGTAAATAAAATGGGGAAAGAAATGGGGGTTGGAAGACACACACACTTATTACATATTTGCCCTCATGCAAGAGGGTTCGAATGAGTGTCTGAGTGTCCGAATTAAACTAATTACTACAACACCTAACAAACAAATTGAACTAAACTAATTACTTATTACAAGGTTAGAACAAATAATAAATGAATGGCTAAACTATCTAATTTATTACAACAAAGGCATTTATGATAATAATAATTGCAACAATGATGAAATTGCAACAATAATTATTTATAACAATAACAATTACAATTCTTAATACAAGCAACAATAAGGCACAATGATCGCATGCATAGTGCCCAGAAGTTATTATGTTTGCCCAGATTGCTCTGCCTCACTCTCAACCACTGCCCTCTGTTTTTACCGAAAGCTCACTGCTTGCCAAACATTGGTAGCCGGCCGGCCTATAATGAGGCCCGGCTGGGTCCAAATGAAGCCGGTCGTGCCTAATTTCTTGCAAAAGTCTATTTTTGTGTTCTGAGGTGAAAACAGCGCAGACAAAATTTTCTGAGCTATATTTGTCCCTCTCACACTTTTCTGTCATGGAAAGCCTCAAAAGAAGGATGGAGTCGTTTCCAAAACCATTAATGAGCAATTTGTTTGCTTAATGATTTCGGCGACAATTTGGACAAAATTCAATGAATGTAATAAATGATGACCACCCCTTCCCTTTATCATGGAGTGAGCTCAAAAGGGGGGAGTAAAGACGCTTCAAGGGTCGTCAAAACACTATGAATTGACATGTGATGACTCTTGACACAATAGACTCTGCATAACGTCTGGCCGAGCCCGAGCAATATAATCCATATTCTTTATGTCAGTTAGTTCATTTTAAGCCAAATTCATTAGTCTTTGCCATTCTTTAACCCATTTGTCCAAGGTGATGGTTACGTCCACTAAATGAGAAACATGTCAAACAGGAAGTGATTCTCAATATGAAAAAGAGACCATGCCATTGACAACGAACCTCTGTAGAGATTAAGCCATTAAGTATAGATCTCTAGTTCATGTTTTGAATAACCGTCAACTGGTTGAAAAAACTCTCAAATGAAAGAACTGGATGATAGGTTGCTTGTTAAAATGAGGTTCTTAACATGGAAATTAAACAAAGCAAGGCCAAGAACAACATACAACAAGCTATATATGCGAGCATATGAGACAAGAAGCAAACTAATCAAAGCATGAATTAATTAAACAACCTAGGAAAGTCCTAAAACAGCCCCTAATAAGTGAAAAATAGTGGCTCAAAGTGTATGAAAAGAGCCCAAAAAGCTAAACAAGAAGCAAAGACAATAAGGCTAGTAAGCAAGTACAAGGAGGGGTTGCTAACCACTCCACTTTTGAAACCTCAAAGTATGATTTTTAGCATCTTTTAAACTCTAAAAATCAATTTGGAAAGCAAAGAAAAAGGGTGTAAAACAAGGGTTTGAGCTATAGGTGAAGGTGTAAGAAAGAGTGGTGACTCTCTTTAAAGAGTGTTAACTTTCTCTTTACCCTTTGGTAGCTATCTAAACCCAAGCTTAGACACTTAAAATAGGCTTAAGATAATATAAAAGCACAAGAAATATAGAGCAAGAGATAGCAAAGAGAGCAAGAGAAGAGATAGTAAGCTTATACATCTCAAGAAGGTAAGCTCTTATTGTGAATCAAACTAGGTCCAAACACACTCTCAAACTTGAATTGTGATGCTCAAGGCTCAACCAAGGTTCCAAGGATAAGGTGTGAAGGTGTATATGGTGTATGGGTATAGGTTAAAGGTGGTACGCTTGCTCAAAGGTTGCTTGCATAAGAAGAAGGGGCTCTCATGAAGGTGTATAAGCTTTTTTGAAATTGTTCAACCCTCAAAATAGAGATACAACTTCATTTTTATAGAATTTGAGCAAAAGAGGTCATAAATATCTTCAAAAATAGACAGCTGGCGGGCTCCTACCTAGAATAGTGTTTCTCCCTACTGTAGACACCCCATTTTTGACCGCCTTTAAGACTTGGGCGCCACTGATTGTTTACTTGGTGATGAAAGTTGTGCAGTGCAAAAGGTTCGATTTCTTCGGCAAGGAGAGTGTCAAATCCCAACCTTGCACCCCATTTTTGGACTAAAATGATTTTGACCAAAATATTTTAGACCTTAAAACCCTCTCTTTCAAAATAGTTTTTGAAAAAGTTCCTACGATGTTCAGAGGCTTGCATTTCGTTAAATGTTGCGTTTTTTTGGTAAACTGAGCAAGGGCAAAGTGGAAATGAATGGAAGAGAGGTGAACTCTTTGAAAAATATTTCAAAACACCTTATTTAAAGGTTTGGAGTTGAAGAAAATGGGAGAGGAGAGAAGAAACCAAGTTTGGGAGAAGTTTGGCATGAATCCGGGTAGAATCGAAACTGAGCAGTCTTCACTAAAAGAGGCATAACTTTTTGCACAGTTGGAATTTTGAAGCGAGGCTTCCACCATTGGAAATAATACTTCCAGGGCTACAATTTAGGCTTAATAATGACCTCCAAAGGAGTCCAGATGAAGGAGTTCTGTCCGGTTGAAGTCGGGCCCAAAAAAACAGATTTTTTTGGCCAACCAGAGGTAGAGGATGCTGGCCATAAATGGGATTTTTTGGCCATGTGCCGGCCATGAATGGCCTAT